TTTGTCATCTTTGCTTGGAAAATGACTTTAATTAGCAATTATCAAAATTTATTGCGATCATCTTTCTGTCAATCGAATAAAAGAATCGAGCAATTATTTCAGCTGTACAGGGAAAATGTTGTATTTCTGTCTCTTTGTTAACCCACTGCCATTCTGTATATTATGACATTTAAATCTGGGATTAATTTTTAGATTAGAGAAAATATTGTGTGAAAGCCAACAAAAACATGTCCTGTGCTGCTTCACTTGGTACCTCATAGCCAAGGTTAGTCTATCAGCAGTCTATGTACGTATTGTTCCTTGTAGTTAGTGTGTGTGTGTGTGTCTGTCTGTCTGCTGTGGGGGATGGACAGTGCTGAGTCAGTCTAGCTGTGCCTGTTTATAAAACATGAGTGGGCCTGAAAGTAAAAAGAAAAGAACAAAGCTACAAAGCTGTATCCCTTTTATCCCCCCCTCTCCATTTTATGTTCTACACTGACGATGTAGCTCTGTGTTAACGTGGCTGTGAGGTTTCCGTGTCATTTCAGTCCAATAAACCTCGCTCACATTAGTCTTCTTAACAACCCGGAGAGAGGTTGTTGTAAAGTGCAGTTGATACGTGCAGCTGATATGAGGATTGATAGTACTTAGAATCGCATCTTCTACTGTCAAAGGTAGCTCAACTTCTGTTTAAATCACATCTGCAATCTGCTCTTTTTAGGTCAGTGAGATTGAGACAGAAAGGTGAGATATCTGGGTCAAATCTTGCTTCAAACTTCTTGTCAGTCAGACTTGTGTGGTGTGGGTTGGAAGGAGGTATCAAAGTACTTTTCCTATTTGACTGTATGGCTTTTTAACTCCTGTCACTTCTGCACAGCTAGTGATCTTTCATCTGTAACCGGCCTCCAATACACATTATTGCTCTGTGGTGGTAAAGGGCTAATAGGGTTAAAGCTAATCTCCCTGTAGCTAATGTATGGTATTGATGACTCTCTCTGCCCTAACCCAGTTCCTCCGCTCCAGTTTTAGATGTGTGATTTCCACTCTGAAGCTTGGTAATAGAGATCAATAGGTCATGACGTAGTGACATAATAGCCCTGTGTTTTCCACTCTGTCTACTGACCTCAGCTCTGTTTTCACTGGGGCACATGAACGAGCTGGTGCGGGTTCTTTGCGTGGCTCTGCCTTCTGACAAGGGTACTAACATCTTTTGTTTTTTTCTTTTTCTCTCCCTGATCCAATCACCTATCCCCTCCTCTGTTGTCTTTACACATATTCCTGCTGTTTCCTTTCCTTATGTCGTTTTTTCCTCCCTCCTTCTACTTTTCAACACTGCCTCACTCTTATTTGTTTTCTATTTCTGTCCTTCACCTCCGGCACCTTATCTATCTCTTTTGACTTCCACATCCCCCTCCCATACTGTCCTCCCTCTCCTGCTTTCCACTGCTTTCTCTCAGTGTGACCAAGACCAGTGCATTCAGAGCACAAAATTCGTTTTGCAGGCCGCCGCCACCCCTCTCCTCCAGCAGCAGAGCAGCGAGCCAGTGATCCTGACGACCTCCCCCGAAAACGGAGGCACTCTAACTGGCCGCACCTCCCTCACCCTGGGCGGCCCGTGCACCTCGCTCCCCCTCGGCCAGCCCACCC